TCACCGTGCAGTGTGTGTTCCCCTCTGTGCAATGTGTGTGTGCCATCACCATGCAGTGTGTGTGTGCTGTCACCGTGCAGTGTGTGTGTGTGTGTGCTGTCACTGTGCCATCACCGTGCAGTGTGTGTGCCCCTCTGTGCAGTGTGTGTGTGCCATCACCATGCAGTGTGTGCTCCCCTCTGTGCAATGTGTGTGTGCCATCACCATGCAGTGTGTGTGTGCTGTCACCGTGCAGTGTGTGTGCCCCTCTGTGCAGTCTGTGTGTGCCATCACCATGCAGTGTGTGTGGGCCAGTGTGTGTGCCATCACCGTGCCATCACTGTGCACTGTGTGCCACACCGTGCAGTGTGTGTGTGTGTGTGCTGTCACCGTGCAGTGTGTGTGCCATCACTGTGCAGTATGTGAGCCATCACCATGCAGTGTGTGTGTGCCCCTCTGTGCAGTGTGTGTGTGCAGTGTGTGTGTGCCATCACCGTGCCATCACCGTGCCATCACCGTGCCATCACTGTGCACTGTGTGCCATCACCATGCAGCATGTGTGCAGCATGTGTGTGCTGTCACCGCGCAGTGTGTGTGCCAGTGTGAGTGTGCTGTCACTGTTCAGCGTGTGTGCTTTCACCATGCAGTGAGTGTGCCATCGCCATGCAGTGTGTGTGTGCCCATCACCGTGCAGTGTGTGTGCAGTGTGTGTGCCATCGCTGTGCCATCACCGTGCAGTGTGTGTGCCCCTCTGTGCAGTATGTGTGTGCCCATCACCATGCAGTGTGTGTGCCCCTCTGTGCAGTGTGTGTGCCCATCACCGTGCAGTGTGTGTGCCCCTCTGTGCAGTATGTGTGTGCCCATCACCGTGCAGTGTGTGTGCCCCTCTGTGCAGTGTGTGTGCCACCACCGTGCCATCACCGTGCCACCACCGTGCCGTCGCCCTGCCCGTGCCCTCCCGCTGCAGCTCCGGAGCCGGGGCCGGGGCGGTGTGAGCGCTGCTGGGGCTGTGCTGGAGCACGGCTTCAGCTCTGCCACCAGGCAGGAGGGTGGCAGAGGCCGCTCTTCCTCCAGTTCTCATCCCACAGCAAGCCCGGGGCACTCCCTGCCGGGATCCAAAGGGAAACCGAGGCACCAGTTTGGATAATGCCACAATGCCTGCAAAGCCTCTGGTGATACCGAGTGGACTTTGCAGAAAATAAGATAGGTGGACAGTTTCTCCATGTGGAGATATTGATATAAACTAAATATCTTAATGTATTGTGACTAAGCACCTGTTCAAAATTGCAATTTAACCAAATCATCCAGAAAGCAGGAACTGGCCCATACTGAGGGATTCTACTGAATAGATATTTTACAGCTTGGATGAGCCACCTTGAAGTGGATCTTTCATGCTGTAAAACTGTTCCCTGTTGTCCTCTCCTCCTTCAAAACACAATTTAGAACATGTTCAGCCAAAGAGAAATAGAAGATAACTATTTTAGGAGGAGATGTGGACCTGTTCAACAACTAAGTGTCATAGTGTGTGGGTGGATGAGAAGCTCTAAGTTAGCAGAAAGAAGAAAACCAAGTACCAAGCAATCACAAAAAATCTTGTTAACCTCAGAACTCTCTGAAATTCCCGAGTGTGGCAGCCAGCTTCTTTCTCAGGGGTCACTGTGGATTCTGCTGCCTGGGGCAGTGGGTGAGGGGTTGGTGGATGGCTCTTGAACGCTTCCTTGCATGCCCAAACTGGCTCTTCCCTCACATCTGGAAGGTAAAAGCTCTGTAGAGGCCGTGCAAAGAAATCTTAATGGAGCTTCTCTGACAATATCTTGGAAGAGAAGTATTTCTGCTGTGCCTTATGTAGGGAGAAAATCGGTGTAAATATATATATAGATAGATACATATAACCCACCCAGAGCACAGCAGGGCTTCTCGGGCACTCCCGGAGCTTCAGGCAGCTCCTCCCCAGGAGGGGCCAGAGCCAGGCAGGCTGTGATCCCCCTCCCTGCTCGGGAGGCTGAGTTATCTGTGCCTGCAGCTCCTTCCCAGCGCAGCCAACAGGTGCAGCAGCAGGGACAGCCAGTGCCGGGCTGCTCGGGCTGCAATGCATCCCTGCAATTACTGCTGCAGGCTCTGCAGGAGCTTTCCTGGCTGAAGAAATAATTGGGGGGGGGGGGGGGGTCTCCATGGCACTCGGGGGCTTTGCTGTGTGGCCAGAGCCCGTCCCGGCCTCTGTAGCTCTCCCCTCCATCGCCCCTGAATTGCTGCTGGGGTGAAAGAGCGTGGGAATGGCTGGGAGGGCTCCTCCAGGGCCGTGGGCAGGCACAGAGCCCTGAGGAGCCAGGGCAGCCGAGCCCTGCCTCTGCCTTCCTCCAGCTGAGGCTGGTGCCCACGCTGAGCCTTTGCCTGGGCACGGCTCCTGCCCGTGCCACAGCACGCGTGGGTGGGCACAGGGATTGCCAGTGGGGCAGGATGCCTCATCAGCCCCTCCAGGAGCACGGCAGCATGAACTGAGGAGGGAGGGAAGTGCCCATGCAGGCTCAGGGTCCGAGGGAGGGCAGCTGCACCCTGGGTTCAGCGTCTGTCCCTGCCAGGGCTCGGTGGGACCTGCTGGAGGGCCTTGGGTTAAACTGATGGGTGAGGAGCACCAGCCAAGGCTGGGCAGCAGCAGGGCAGAGCCCACCCTGGGCAGGGTGGAGCAGGGCAGAGCCCACCCTGGGCAGGGCAGAGCCCACCTGAGCAGGGCAGAGCCCACCTGAGCAGGATGGAGCAGGGCAGAGCCCACCTGAGCAGGGCAGAGCCCACCTGAGCAGGATGGAGCAGGGCAGAGCTCACCCTGAGCATGGTGGAGCCCACCCTGGGCAGGGAGCAGCAGGTTTGGATGTCTGGGTGCACAGGAGCTCCTCCAGCCTGGCCATGGCTTCCCCAGGAGGGGGTTGAGGTGGGAGGTGCCTCGGGCTGGGCTCTTTTCTGTTCCATCTCTGCCTTCACCCCATCCATCAGCAGGAGGGCCAGTGGCACTGCCCTCTGTGCCTGTGTCCCTGGGCACTGCCAAGGGCTGCCCAGGCAGGTTTTGGGCACAGGGCAGCTGTGCCCAGCCCAGCCCAGGGCGCTGAGGCTGCAGGGGATCAAAGGCAGGGGCTGCTCTCCAGCACAATTCTGTCAGTGCACGCCGGTAAACGGCAGCCCGGTCATAAATTAAATATCTCTCCTAAAAATAACACCAAAATAATTTGGAAAGCTGCTTCCAAATGCGCCGGGGAGTTCAGGCAGGATGTTTTAAGGCTGCTGGTTTTGCTTTGGAGAAAATGCTGTTCCTTTGCAGGGTCGAACTCCATGATAAAACCATGGCCAGGGTGTTTCGTATTTTCTGGAAGTAGAACCACGCAATACGGGGAATATCAGCACCCTGATTTCTCTTCCAGTGCTGGAAAGCTTATTTTTGTGCTCCCTGCAGACTTCTCATGACAGGCTTTAATAATGAGCAAATTACTGCTTCAGGTTGCTGTCCTCGGTGGATGCAATTTGAAAGAGTCAATCAAGAATAATTTTGTTCCTGTCTAAATCCCTGTGGGATTTTGTCAGGGGTGGCTCCGGTGGCCCAGAGGGGGCTGGTCCCGAGCCCCTCCAGGGAACTCTGCAGCAAAGTGGGCTAAGGCA